TCTGTATCCTGAACACATCACCACCCCGCTGGGCGGCACGGAGCTGGGAGGGGGCAGATGGTGCCGCTCTAACCGGCGGGGAGAAGTCGGGCGAGGTTTTCGTGCTGCTGAGTGGGAAATGTGGTATTTGGTTGTCTCTGCCAGTATTTCCTCCAAGCTGACTTTAAATATTTTATGCTTTAAAAAATGCTGAACCACTTGCCATTTTGTCTGATGAAGAAGTCTGCGTTTCAAGGCACGGAGCTGGGAGGGGGCAGATGGTGCCGCTCTAACCGGCGGGGAGAAGTCGGGCGAGGTTTTCGTGCTGCTGAGTGGGAAATGTGGTATTTGGTTGTCTCTGCCAGTATTTCCTCCAAGCTGACTTTAAATATTTTATGCTTTAAAAAATGCTGAACCACTTGCCATTTTGTCTGATGAAGAAGTCTGCGTTTCAAGGGATCCCATCTGTGAGAAATCATCTTCCAAGCCGTTCTCTCTAGAGACGGCTGATGCAGGGAGGGTGGTAAAGCTGCTGCTCTGCACCCTTTCGTGCTGTTTGTGTTCCTCGGTGTGGCTAATGATGTGCAGCGGAGTAAAGCAGGACCCCCTCCCGCTTCGCTTCCCGGGTGTTGTGTACCGGCACTAACACCGCAACAGCTCACCCTGTGAGCGTGGCAGGGGAATGTTTACATGCAAATAGAAATGCAGTCTCCATGAACATCGTTTTAAAACTCACTTAAAACATTTTCAAGAATGTCCGTATGTATTTTTGGCTGATTTTCTTAGGGTTTTGTCTGTAATTACTTGGCCAGCCTTTGTCCTAGGACAGCTTGATCCTCCGGTCGGGTCCACGTTCTCCCGCCTTCTGCTTGCTAACGAAGCGCAGGGTAGTCCTTCCGCAGGCACCGCCAGCCGAGAACATCTCACTGGCGTCCTCGCGGAGCAAATCCTAGCTAGCTCTTCCCGGCGCTGGCTGAACGGGGAGACCTCGGACGCCCACAGGGAGCGGCGGTTGCCCCGGAGGAGCCCCTCTGTAGGAAGGGATGGACCAAAATGCGGGTGTCCTGTCTGCTGTGGGGTTGCACCAATCCCTGTCTGTAGGGATTTTGCTTATCGTTTCCTGGCTATTGGTGGTAGACATGGCAGTCCTTCCAGTTAGGTGTTGTAGAAGGGACCCTGCGGGTCCGGCTTTCTGTAGCGTGGGGAGGCTGTCAGCCTGGTGGGTGCTGCGCCCAAAGCCGCCTCGCCGAGTCCGGGCTGGGTGTTCGGAGAAGCGTGTCTTAGTAGTGCGGAGAAAGGCCCGTTTTCTTAGCAATAACTCGGTTTGAAACACGTTCCTTTTTCCTGACAAAAATCTGTGATAGCAGCTGTATCTGGTTTTGTAGGCAAATTAAATCAACACGGGCCTGTTTTGTATGATGGCGATGTTTGTAGCTCGATCGCGTTCTTGTTGAGATGTTCCGTTGTAGCCTGAGATATCCAGCTTGTACTTACCTTTCACATCTTCCCCGCGCTTGTCTCCGGGCTGCGTCGTGGTTTGTCTTGTCAAGGTCGTTTCTGGCAATTTCCAAGACCACTTCAGCTCACGGTGGCTTTATTACCATTATTCTATTAAGTATCTGGCCAGGGTAGCAAAAAATGCAGGGGCAGATAGAAAGCTAAAAAGCAAAACTACAAAAGCAATTCTCCATGGGGCTTTCAGCCAGCAGGACAGCTTTTCACGGGCTCGTATCCTGCCCTTTTCATAGAACTGTCATCCAGCCGCGTTACAATGGTTGTCTCGCTCTGGAGCTTCATGTCAAGGTTGGAGGACGGGCTGCGTGCAGGAGCAGTCCAAGGCCGGCTCGGCTGGGCGCCCAGGGAGGGGCTGCCTGCGGGACGGGCAAAGACACTCGGGTCTCTGCCGGAGCAGGTGGGGAGCTCTCCCTGGGGAACGGGGAGAACTGCGTTGCCCTGGTGGGGAGCAGGGCTCCGCTCCAGAGCTGCTCCCCGGCAACCTGGGATGTGTTAAAATTGGCGAACTCTGCAGAGTTGCTGCTGCTGTCTCCGTTTATTTCGGAGCAGCCGTGAATGTCCCCCCAAGTGGTGTTTTAGGCACCGCTGCTGGAGCGGCGTGCTTGCTGGAGTCCTGCCGGCGGGATCGCTGAACACCGCTCTCGCCAGGGATCGGGCAGGTTGGGAGGCGCGCCGTTCTCTTCCCACGGCTTGCTCCTTTCCCCGTCTCGCCTCCTTCCAGCAGCCCTGGGACACCCGTAGCAGCCCTTCCGGGCTGTGCCTCTTTGCTCCTTTGGGATTTTCCCCTTTAAGGTAGTCTCTCGCGCAAGACTCGGCTTGTCCTGTGTCTCCAAGCACTGCAGCGAAGGCTGCCTCTGTCCAAATGGGGCGTTCGCCACGTGTGTCCTGGCCGGGGACTCTCCAGCGCTGAGAGACTGCAGGCGTGTAACACGGCCAACGGCAGCAATGGTGGGGAGGGGGGAGGTTCAACACCCGCCCTGATCTTTCCAGCCCCGATTCTTCTGCACAGTGCATTGCTCGCTGGAAATCCTAGGTTCGGATGGATGGGGCTGTGGGGACGCTGGGTGATCATAGTACGACTTGAGCTACTGGTGTCACGTTAAGACGAAGCCAGATGCGGTCGGAGGATGCGTGAGGCACGCGGACGCTTGCAGGGGCTGGGATGCTGCGGCGCACAGTTGTGCTCTGCCTGCGGAGGGCGGGCTGGAAAGGAAGGAGCGCGATTGCTGCTGTACGTGCTGGGGAGAGGAAAGCTTTTGGAGGCAGAGGACCGATGAGGCACAGGAAGAACAGTATGTGGATCAGCTGGTCACGCAGAAGTGGAGGCTGATAGTTAGAGGCACGTCCTTAAAAACAAAACGCAAACCACCACCAAACCTTGCATCACCCCCCCGGTCCTTGCTGTGCACCGTCTGCACTTGTGTGTCTTTGCCCGCCGGAGAGCTGCGATAAGAACTACTGGCGGAGGGCTCCGATGGCAACGCACGTTGTCCAGGTAGGCACTTTTGGGGGCAGGTCCCCTGCCCCGCTCCTGAGGGCAGCCACTGCGCAAAGAGCACAGGGCGGCTCTGAGCAATCCAAAGTCCCATCTGAACTGTAGGTGCCTTCTGGGTGTGGGAGGCTTTGCTGTAATCCTGCTGAGCAGCGGTCCTGAGCAGAGGAGGTCTGCCCTGGCTCGTGGGTCTGAGGCGGTGCGTGCGTGCGTGCCTGCGCGCACTGGCCTGCGTACGTACGTGGAGAAGAGGATTTGCTTTTCCTGGAATGCCAG